CGAGGGTTTGAACTCTTTACGGTAAATTTAAACCAATAAATAGATCATTTTTTTAGCTAATACTTATAATAAGTCAATAGATATTTATTACATATCTTTGAAATCCTTTAAATAAGGTATTTATTACGATTCTTTGAATTTCCGGTCTATTGTTTGCGTTTATACTTGTATGTTCGTGAATTTCGTCTTTAATTCTTTCTCTTTCTGTGCAAACATTTTTCGTCCTTCTAATCTTTAGATCTTTTGGATATTATATCGAGTTGATGCATAATTATCCGCCGTTTACTTTTTGCGTATTTACTTTTTGCGTATGTACTTTTTTAACAAAAACCAATCTTCTATATTTACTTAATAGAAATGCGCGTAGAAAATCATATTCACCCGCACTAATATTATGTTCTACCACTTGGGGAAAGAACCGCAGCACAGTCATTCCGCGATCTCAACGATCTTTTTGGCGAAGGAACAATCAGTGAGAGGCAGTGTCGGGGGGAGTGGTTTCCTCGTTTCGAATCTGGCGACACAGGCATGGAGGACAGGTCAGGAAGAGGACGGCCATCGGATTTCGACGACCAGGTACTTCTGGCAGCCGTGTTCCTTCGCCAAAAAGATCGTTGAGATTGCGGAATGACTGTGCTGCTGTCCACCCTTTCTCGAGCATAATATGGCGCAGGTAAATATGATTTTCCACACACAATTTCTATTAAGTAAACATAGAAGAATGGTTTTTATTAAAAAAGTAAACAAACGCCAATATTCATAAATAATAAATACGCGAAAAGTAAACGGCGGATAATTATGCATCGGCCCAATATATTAACTTATACTAAAAGGGATCTTTCTTCCCGTTAACAATGAAACCGTTAAGTGAAAAAATAAAACAGAAGGAAAAGTGAGTGTATTAGCGCAATTTTAACAGTCGGGGACAGCCTTTCCATGAAAAGGTAATCGGAGAATTTGAAAAATGTTCAAGCTCCCGGCGACGGAGAGTAACGTTTTCACGCACGATTGTTCTACCCCAGGCTGGAGGTCACGATCGGCCGTGTGATGACGGGTAAAAAAGCTCGTTGAGAATTCAAGAAGCGCTCGCGGGAATACAAGTCCGTGATCGTTTTCAAAAGACCGGTCGCTCGTTTCGGATGCGTGTCGCGCGGTGGCAAATCGCGCGGCCGTCGCGCGCATTGAATCGGACCCGAGGCTGACGCGAGAAAGCGCAATTAATAATCCGTAGGACGGGGAAAGTTAAGCCAGGGCTATCTTCCGACACGGTGGCGGAGTAACGCGACGAAATGAATAGCGGTTAGAGTTGCGAAGCAGGCCACGGGGTGAGAGGCCGGATCGTTAGCAGTCTTACGCAAGTTAAGTCCGTTTCAGCTCGCACGATTCATCCTCGTGACGTCCGCCTCTTCAATTAAATCGTACGGATGTCGATTACGTCCGCTAACGAGGGATTAAATTTAAAAGTGCGTATATAGCTTTACAGCTTCGGCAGCATCGGGATGATGAAATTACTGTAGCCGGAATTAAACCGTTTGAAAATCGCCCGGACTCAACGGACCTCGTTAATTCGATTACGTGATAAATCGTTTCTCGTGCGCGGGCTACAATTGCCGTTTCTGGGATTAGCTCGTGTGCGCCTGCGAGAAAAAAGATCATTTCCCGCGAACTAGAACGTGATATCGTCGTATTGAAAAAGGGAAAGTTATCTGAGAACACGTTTCCTGGGTATCGCTCCGGCAAAAATATGATGGAGCACATCGTGCGCCAGCGCGAGCGCTCGCGTCCCACCGAGAAACGTCATCGCTCGAAGAATCCGTACCTTTACGCAATAATTCGGCCGAATTAACAGCTTTATCGTTGCACGAACGAACATGTAAAACGATACTTCCGTCAAAAACACCGAATAACACTGGATATACCGCGTGTCGGAATGTTTAGTCGACTAAATTACCGTTCTGTCACATTCCACGTGAGAAACCGCTCTTAATCCACTTCCCGTGCACTAATACTGCAATATTATGCCGAGAAAATTAACTGGGAACATTTCCTGGGCGTTGCTTTGGGTGTTCCTGGGGGTTGCTTCAGCGGTAATACGATGGCGCACGATGTGCTCCAACGCGAGCGTTCGTGTCTTCTCAAGAAACGTCATCCGTATTTTTATTCGGCGATTCAGTTGAATTAACCCTTTGCGATCGGTGTCCCCGTAGCGGGGACATTTTCAAATCGTCGTAGAAGTCGGTGTCCTCGTAGCGGGAACCTTCGAAAATCGCAACAATGACAAAACACTATAGTCCCCTATGCCTCGTGATTCAAATGTTTCGGTCGACTTACGAGATAACAATGTATGATTGTTCCGAGAAATTTCCAGGCAGTCTTCTTCGAATGAGCTCTCGAGAAACATTGAGATCGCTAAGAAGCTAGTCACTGTGTGTACATCACACACGTTATTTTACCATCAAAAAGTACCGCGCATATAATAAAATTTGTGTTCAAAATTTAAAAAACACAGTGTAATCCCCAAAAATGAAAGGACTTCAATATCGGCGATTGTTTCGCGAAATATCATACTTTAGAACATTACAGAGATTAAACATTTTGTATTCTTGCGTATTATAAGTAGTATTAAACACAACAAATCAGTTTCAATAAATTCTGTGTGTTTTAATATCCATATATTGACTTTAAATTTTATACGGAAAAGTAACTGCGAAACGCTAGATCTGGTACTCTCAAGAGCGAAATCTGCCGACCGCAAAGGGTTAATATGTTCTTTGCCATCGACACGGACGTATAAGACAGAGCTTTCATCAAAAGCGGCGGACACGCGATCGATCGCTCGCGAGCGTCGAACGGAAATTCGATTAATTCAACTGCAATCAATTCATCCGCGCATCTCGTGTTCCGAAATCAAATTAGCCATCGTTCGCGAATTGACGCAAAAAAATTCATTCGTATTATCGTTACTTTCATTATTATTATTACCGTATCGCTAATACCGTTGATACGTCGCAACTACATCGCCGGCAGTCTTCGCGCGTTGCTCCATCGCGGATTAAACTTCCAAGTCCGCGGTGAGACGGTCAGAGAGCGCCGCGCGTCCCCACCCGCAGTCTCGAACGCGGGCGAGGGGAGAGGGGGGAAACAATTCTTTTATCCCGCGAGAGCGAATAACCCTTGCTGTCCGTCGTGCGCGCGTCCCGTTATGAATTACAAGGTGGCGTGGTTCCCTTCGTGGAATTCACTCTCGTCGCCGATGTGGCGTACGTCTCTCCTCGCCATTCATACGTGTCCGGAATCATTGACCGCGCGACCACGCTACGTGACACGACGACGACGATCGCCCCCCCTCCGTCTCCTCCTCCTCCTCCTCTTGTTCATACCGTAAAACAGGACGAGGGAGGAAGAAGGTGCGAGACAGAGTTGCGACACGAGGAGGAGAGAGATAGAGTTCGGTACTCCTCGAGTAGCGGAGAGTGTTACGGGATTTCGAAGGGCGTGCTCGCGTTGGGGCCACTTCAGGAACGCGCAATTTCACATTGTCACGGACGACGGGAACATCCGAAAAACCACCGACTGCTTCTCTCTCTCTCTCTCTCTCTCTCTCTCTTTCTCTCTCCTTCTATCTGTCTCTCTGTCTCGATGTCTCTCTAACGGGCTCTCGCTTGCGGTTTCGGTACACGAGGTCGACCAATAACGGGAGAACCTCGGTGCCACGGGACGTATAACATCGTGTTCATGCGGAAAAGGCAGAACAGTGGTCCTATGAGGACACTCCAATCCCGCTTTTATACGAAATGTCTCTCGCACAACGTAAAAATCGCTCGGAGAACGCGCTCCCCGCGGCTCGAGTCGGGTGTTTCTTCAGTTTATGGTTCTATTAAAGACGCCGGTATCGCTTAAAGTGAACAATCGGCGCCGTGTGACCCGTTGTTATAGCGCGATAACTGATCCACATGGCGCAATCTTCTTTCTCGAAATCAAATTTTGCAAATCTGTCTCAATCTCCAGTGAACCGTTTCAACATGTCCCGAGAAATTCATCCGGGACAATCTGTTTTGTCTCTTATTGAAATCTGTAGAAAGAAGCAGGATATTTTATTGCGAGCTTCTTTCATTTCACCTCGCCATTCTAATCCCCGTGTTTCATAAAAGATATTTATAAAGTATAATTAAGCGTATCACATAATATTGAACAAGGATTCTAAAGGAACGTTGACTATAGAGTAAGTAGGGAGCCAACGAAAAAAAGTAAAGGATACACGCGTCCCGAGTGACATTTCTTGATTGTATCTTTAGCAATTCGATCACCAGTTCCGTGCGATCAATGAAATTCGACGGGGCAGCCAACATATGTTTACACGTTATTTGATTTCTTCATATACGTTCACTACGGCGCGCGTGAACTGTATACTTTTCATAGCTATACACAGAAAAGTACATACTGCATGCAAATAAATATACTACTTGTTTCAAGTATCTTATAAGTTTATACATCCGCAGGTATATCGTAAGTTCATTATAAGCATCAAATTTATTCAAAATATATTCTAAATCCTGGTAAATTGAATACTTCAAGCAAGAATATCAAATTAAAACAATGAAATTTCTGTTTGCTTATTCAAATTAGCTGAGTTTAACGTTTCTCCGATAAAGTTCATAACATATTCTCCGGTAAAGTTTATAAATATTCTTGAAAAGAGAGCAAATTCCTCTTTTGAGTAAATGCTAATGGAGCTTCTCTAATATTTAAATATATCTTAATACTATCAAGAAAATATCCTTTGTTCGAGATATCCATTACTCAAAAGAAGAAAAAGCAAACGAATTAATTGCTCTTCTTCTCAGTACGATTAACGCTTTTCTGTGTGCTTAATAGTGCACGTTCATAATGCATGTTTGCACTCATAAACACATAAAATGTGAAATAGGCAAATCGAGTATTTGAACCGTATCACACAGGTGTAACACTGGTAGCGAACACGATGGAATCGTGACACTTACAATGGCCTGTTGATCAACTCCATTCGGAGGTGGCGGCGGACTGAAACTGGCCGCGGTCGGCGCGCCGGAGGCGGAGGGGTGCGGGGCGCCCGCCGTAGGTGGAACTTGGGGCCCGCTAGGTGGTGGCTGTTGGGGCGCACCGGCGCTCTCCTCCTTCACCTGCACCGGCGGCGGTGGCTTCACGTCACCGGCCGTTCCTGCCGCCCCCACAACGCCCGCGACCCCGTTCACCGGCGGCGGGAAGACACCCCCACCGTAGGGCGCAGCCATCCCCGTCTGCACCATGTGCTGAAACAAGAAGGTACGATTCCACGTGAGCATTTGCTCGTTTCTCGGCTTTATTCCTCCGCGTCAGCAGAAATATCTCGCCGGTGTGATGGTGTTGAAGTGTGTGTTACGAGTGCACGGGCTTGTCGCGGGATACACAGGATATCCTGCGCGAGCTTCTTTTTCTTCACGCGTCTCGGAAGGATCGCACATGTGTACGCACGCGATTTCATCGACTCGTGCTTTTTAATGGCGATCTTGTTAATTATAACGAGCCCGGTTGTGAACGAATTGCAAAATGCAATTTTGAAGGTCGACGAATCGACGGTCGCGAATTATAACGTGGAAATTCGAAAGCTGAATTCTATTCGGGGTTTCAATCTGAGTCTGATTAAATGATAAATTGACTATGGTTATTTCTCAGGTCGCTGCATCGGTCAGAGTAATAGTTAATTGATGGAGTTCGATGATTCGTTTCCGCTTCGTTGGCCGATGATAGGATGTTTGAACAAAGTAGCATACTCTCTCCTCTTTCTGCCTTCCTTTCTCTATCTCTCCGTGGATCTACAAAGGTTCAAGTACGAGGAGAGATGAAAAACGGGAAATTAATACCGCGTGAACTCTATTAACCTTCATCAACATTTGCTCGCTCTTCCCTCTCTCTCTCTCTCTCTCTCTCTCGCTTCTCATCCGCTTGCGCGAGACGAGGAAGACTAATATTTTTACTACCGCATCAACGTACGCTTCGGTTTTTCCGGTCTCCAAACAGTCCCTCTGCTCCGGTCTCTCCGGGATCGTTAGAGACGAAGGATAATGGACGCGAAAATGGCGTTGCCAATTTTTCGCGGTGGCACACCATTCACCGTGACCGCGGGCAATCGCGCTACAAGAAGGATTTCTGGCAGCGTTCCATCGAAATGTCGTTGGTTAGATAATACCTCAGCGCGATCCTGGAGCGGCAGCTAAAGATGAGACTCCCCATTCGCGGTAGAAACGAACGGGAAACTGAACTTTTGTTTTTTACCGAAATCCGCAGATGCTTTGCGTTTGGAGATTTGATTGTTTTCTCTGAAAATAATCGACAAACGACAAGAGCGAACAGACCAAAGGAGTCTATTTACGGAAATCTCAGACATCGTCTCGACGAAAATACGACGGCGCACGCGGCGCGCTCAAGTTCCACCTCGAGACGTCATCGTTCGAGGATTAATTAAACGTTCGCTTTCGGCGAACGGAGGCGTAAAAATTCGGCATGCGAATCGATGACAAACCGCATCGAGGAAATCGATGCGCAGCCGGTGAAATAATATAGATTAATCGCGATTTGACGACGCTCTCCGTTCTCGCGTAGAAGTTTAAATGAAGAAGGACTATTTGATGGAACGAGCGAGACGGTGGATCCGCGAGCGACGGCGAACGATTTACCATGGACAGCGAAGGGTAACTATAATTTATGGTTCGCCCCCGGGCCGTGTGCCATCCACAATCTCGCGCGAGGCAGGTTACAGATGGTTTGTCCAGTTCTCCCTTCTTCCCAGATTATTTCTGGGACGTCCCCTCGACGCAGCTCGCTCCGTAGCCGGGCGAAGCGAGCTCGGCGAGGGCCATTTGTTATTCCTACCTTGAACATTTTTCTGAAAACTCGATTTAGACCGGATTTCGATACCGGGGGCCGCGTGTGTGCGAGCGAACGGAGATGAAGCCCCGCGACGGCTCCGTTGCTCTTTGTTAAGTCTGAGAAATGAAGGGGGTCTCCTCTCGGTCTCTCTCGGCAATTACGGAAAATCCGACGGCGACGAAGTGCCCGTCGAAGCGCTCGAGACGATTTCTGCCGCCGGCTGATTGCGATACGCGCGCCTCCCCGATCGGCGTATCAATTATACTGCCTCGCGTGTGCTTGTAAATAGCGGAAGTGTCGGCGTGACGGCAAGTTAGCAACTTGAAAATTAATTTCCCGCAAATGAACAGGGACAATAAATGCAAAACTGCCGAAGGTAATTAGCAAATAATTAGCGCTTAATTATGCGATATAGATTCAAATACAATTTTTAGTAACGGGAAAACTAGGTTAACGGAGGTGATTAATTAACACGTTGACGAGCTGCCTGCGTGAGACTCGCCGGTGCTGTGATATCGTCGCGTCTAATTAATTTATATATAAGACGTAACCAATTGCACATAACAAATGTAATAAATGGTCGGTAGTCGATGAAACGAGCTAATGGCATGCATCATTAATTGTATTTGATTATCGTCTCTCTACTTATTCACAAACTTCCAGCGTGTGTGCGTGTATGTGTGTGTGTAAGCTTTTAAAAGTCAGGCTTTTAAAATCGTTTGAAAATACATTTATTTGAACATTTGACAATTATTATTGGAAACACATACAAGCATTTTTAACGTGTTAGCAAAGTTATCAAAGTTTAGATAAAACATACCAAAAACAACGAGGTGTAAAAACGGAGCCGACGCCGTTTATTCGTTCCGAGACGTTGCGAATCGTCGCGTGCGAGCGGACGGAAAACACCACGCGGCATCAACAACCGTTTCTAATCGCCTCGAGTGCCTCTTTCCTACTCGTGACCCAACGGGATAAAATATTATCGAAAACGCGAAATTCCCCCGCCGTAATTCCATTCACGGCGGAAATATTCAATCGCGCCGATACACACGCGAAATCCAATCGTTCCTCCAAATTCCGCAGCACGAAGCCAATTTTTGTCCGCCGGGATTCGATTATACGGGACACACGGGGCGAATAAAATTCTAATAAAACCACGAGGGGCGCCGCCGGTTACGCCGCGCATTCTCTCTCTCTCTCTTTCTCTCTCTCCCTTCCTCTCGGAAGTCCGATCACGATCGCCGACTAACAAGGGTGACCCGATGACGTGAAGAGGCGCGAACGGAAGAAGCGCGAGTGCGACAGCCGGTAAAAAGAAAAACGGACCGGAAAAATAATCCGGAAGGAATGGGAGTGCGGCTTTCTCGCACTTTTACTCGGCGAACGATCCATTAAAGGACACACGTGGAGTCAACTACCACGTGTAAAAGGAGGATTCCCTCAGAAGGCGAGAGCGAGCGAACTCGATGTAACCCCGAGCTGAAGAAGCGAGGAACAGAGAAAGAGGGGGAAGGAGAGAGAGGCAGAGAGAGAGAGAGAGAGAGAGAACGACAGAAGTCACTTCTGGCTCTGCAGTAGCAGCAGTTTCCTCTTCGACTGCTCGCTATTCCGCGAGCGTGGCTTAATCAACGAAAGGGACAGGGCTGAGGGAAGGCGAGCGTACACAGCGGAGAACGTGATCCCGGAGCGACCTAATTTTCCCTCGCTGGAAATATATCTTCGGGTCGACTGGCAGACGTGCGAGCGAGCGAGCGCGCGCCCAAGTTCCTCCGCTCCGATCGCGAGGATAGAGGATCGCCGGTGCGGATTAAAAACGCGTTAATTTCGCCGGCGAGAGAGAGAAAAAACAGACAGAGAGATACGGACTTCCGGCTATGTCGCCGTCGTTAATTGATTCTTCCAATTTCTCACGCGGAACGAGCGACGTCTCCGACGAGATGAGAGTCCGTGCGGATTCGTCAGCTGGCACGAGTTCCGAGACTTCGTTACAGTCAATACGTATGCGCGCTTCTTCTTCTTCTTCTTCCACTTCTTCTTCCATTTGTTCTTTTTCTTTTCGCTCGGTGCAATAGCCGCCGGAAGTTCGCTGACGCGCGATATGTTAAAATTACACCAGGCTCGCGTTCGGTAGAATCAAACTGAAGTCACGTTTCGCGAGCGCGAGTTTTTTTTCCCCGTTCCGGACGGCTCGCAAACGTTACATCATTATGTATTTAAATCGTTACAGCGTGATTGTATTATTGTCTTTAGCTCTACAGTGATCGCGCAGATGACAGGTGTTATTCATGCGTACTAAAATGCATTTCCCAAGAAACACAAGCATCCACCTAGCACCTTCGTATGTTTGTTAACTGAAAACTGCTGATGTTTTAAATAAGATATTTTAAAATGATTACGCTTTCCTACACGAATAAATATTATTTCCTAAAGCAATTTTTTTGTTGAAAATGTCAATTTAAAATGGCAAACACTTGTTATCTACGCGATCATTCCAGGATTAATCTCCCAAATTATATACAATAAAAATATCTTGTACTTGTGTTAAAATCGATCCTTGTTAACATTTTTGTATTAAACTTTTAACATATCGTATGTGTAATTTAACATATGTTTATGATATCTCAATATTTTACGATTATGTCGATATTCAACATGTAAAAACGTTAAAATAACATAGCTTATTTACTTCAGTGTCAGAAGGAGAAAAATAATCGATACACCGAAAACTTATAATTTAACGATAAAAAGCCGCGATCGCTAAGTCATACCAAAAGCACGCATCACTCGAAAAAAAGGACAGTTGATATCCTCTCATGAATATTTAACGAATACTCAAGGCCCCTGACGGGTCACCGACCTCTCTTCTAATTAGAGCCTCCGGTGATAATTAAACGATCGTACGTTCTTACCGCCAAATCATAAATTACGAACACTGACCTTTCGTCTTCTGAGCAGAAGGCGAAGGAGGCGCCTCTTCCGTTTCTCCTGAGCCATCGAAACGTTTCAAGTATTTCAAGAAAGACGGTGTTATTTTTTTGACGTTCGTTTTGCTGCAAGAAGCCGCCGTTGCTCGTATGTCCCTTTCGAGGTAAAACCCTCAATTCCATTTCAGCGGGTGGCTCGCTTTCTCGCGTCGCTCGGTCAACGACAGTCTAACAGTTCTTTGTCGTCTGCTTTTTCTCTCTCTCTCTCTCTCTCTCTCTCTGGCCGACGAACAGAGAGCGAGGCTTTCCGCGCGCGGCGGTATACAAGGGACCATTCAGAGCATGCTTCCCCTTCGGCGTCAGCGGAGCGTGTCGCCACGGCTAGCTGGGCCTTATGGCGATCGCGCGCGAGAGAGAAAGAACGAGAGAGAGAGCGTGTATAATGAAAAAAAAAAAAAAGGATTTTAATGACGCCA